TCATGGCAAAGCGCACCTACCTGGAGTGGCCGAAGGAGAGGAGCAAGCATGCCCTGTTCTGGGCTAACCTCAGGGCAGCCATTAGCATTGACCTGCCAATATCCAGTGAAGCAAATGAGTAGGGGAGTGATGCTACACTTACTAGTAGTATAAATATGTGAATAACTGACTTGACTGCTTTGCATTAAACTCTGTTAATATTTTTTTCTATTTTCTTATGATATTACCAGTTTGTTGCAATATGGCACATACAGAAATTGCTATTCCTTATTTGAGCCATCCAGGCAGTCCTTAGTCATCTGTAGTTGCCCATCAACAACAAAGAGAAGGACAGAGAAATTTTCATAGTGACTGACCTAATTTTTAAGTTGTATTTATTTTGGACTTTTCCCATTGAAAGCTATATTTGAAAGTAATGAGAATAGCCGTTGGTTTGGTGTCATCAGGCTGCCAAGGCATACATTTAATCTTTGTTCTGTCATGAATGTTGTGAGGTTAAGATTGTAAGGATCTGCTTTCTTACTTTTAATAAAATAACACAAAGACGAAAACTCTTGTTTGAATTCCATCCAATTCATTGGTATAGTAGATGTCAAGAGTACAGTATCTTCAACCTTTTAGCCTGTTTTCCCTTCCTGGAAGTCTTTCTCTTCATCACAGAGAGACTTTCTTGGGTAAGTGCTGAAATTTGAATCCACTTATCCTTGTTTGATGTTCTTCTTCCTTTGTTATATTAAACATTACCACTTGCCTAGAGATAGATAACTGCCAAGTCAAGATTTAATACAATTTGCTATTCACTATCTTCAAAATCATAGTTAAGACCCGTAGTTATTATTTTTTGTAGTATTGTAATGTTGCTGCTTTCTGCCTTGATTTTATCAAGCCATACTGGGTTGCGGTTTTTTTCTTGTTTCCTAGTACTTAGAAACTTGATGTTTGGAGGTGAACCTCCTTTTATCTCCAGGCTTCCACTGAACTCTGTTACTTTGCTCATTTAATTAGCAGGTGCTGAGGCTCATCACACAAGTGAAAGAAAAGTAATTTTCCCTGGAAAATAATTTCTCTGCTAAAATCTTACTGATTAAACTAATGGTGTTTGTTAGTAGGAGACATCTTGTAACTTGCTGTGCTTGGATTTGAGTGTCTAATAAACATCTCATTCTTTATCGATTATTAAATTTCATGTGTCATTTCAATGGTGATGTGGAGTTGTGTCATTACATTTAATGAAAATGGAAATGTAAAGTCCTGTGATCACAACTGTGAGGATCAAACTGGTAAGAGGATGTGATCCTCAACACTCACTGAGGTGGCTCACCAAGCACACATCAGGTGTGGTAGGTAGATGAAACAATGAAATTGAAGTTGCGGGAGAGCTTGTTGGTGTCCAAAGATGCTGAGACACTGCTGGCACCCACCTACCAGTTCAGGTTATTTGGATAGGATTGTAGTAGGATGCCAGGTGCCTGGCTCTGAGCTTTGGAAAGAAGAGCTAAAAATCTCTACTAAATCTTAATTATCATTCAATTATTACCACACTCATTAAATCCGTATCTCTCCAATTTAGAGGGGAGGATGTTGTGGGGAACCATGCCAAAACCTTACCCAGAAATTTAGATTTAGTAGGGATTAGGGATGCTGGTGGATGAGGGGCTGGACATGACCCAGCCATGGGCACTCACACCCTGAAAGCCCCAAACGTGTCCTGGGCTGCATCCAGAGCACCGTGGGCAGCAGGGGAGGGAGGGGATTCTGCACCTCTGCTCTGCTCTGGTGAGACCCCACTGCAGGGCTGCATCCAGCTCTGGGGTCCCAGCACAGGAAGGACATGACCTGTTGGAACAAGCAGGCTGGATCACCTCCCCTATTGGGACAGACTGAAAGAGCTGGGGTTGTTCAGCCTGGGGAAGAGAAACTCCGTGGAGATCTTGTTGAGGCCTTTCAATACTTAAATAGGGCTTATAAGAAAGATGAGGACGGACTTTTTAGCAGGGCCTGTTGTGATAAGACAAGGGGTACTGGTTATAAAATAAAAGAGGGCTGATTTAGGTTGGATATAAGCAATAATTTCTTATAATGAGGGTGGTAAAACACTGGAAGAGATGGCCCAAAGAAGTTGTGGATGTCCCATCCCTGGAAACATTCAAGGTCAGGTTGGGAAGGGCTCTGAGTGATCTGATCTAGTTGAAGATATCCCTGCTCATTGCAGGGAGTTGGACTCAATGACCTTTAAAAGTCCTTTCCAACCCAAGCCATCTTATGATTTTATGATTTTACCTCTCTAGGACTTCTTGCTACTTTAAAGTGGGAAATGCTACCAAGTAATCCTGTGCCCCTTCTTTCTGAAAGCCTTACAGCCAGGCATTACAGCCTAAGGACGTGATTAGCAGTCACACTTAGTACTAATGGGCTAAGGGGCACGTAGTCTATCCTGTTTACTAGACAAGAAAAGAGGAAGCAAAATTTCTCTAATTCAGGCCTTCCAGTCTCTGTAAATTTAATGCATCAGCAAACAGGGAGTTATATCCTAAATAATGTACAGACTGGGCTGTGGAGGAGTCCCTCACCTTGAAGACTGTTCTGAAATGTAAGTTTTAGATGGGAGTGAAAGAAATAGTTTCTCAAGTCTGCCATGTATATTGTTTTGGAATACTAATGGTGTAAGAGCCCTTTATGCTCCATCCTTCCCACCTTACAGACCTTTCATGCACATGCCAAATACTTCAAATATACAAATACTTCTGTTATTTACCATACCATACCATACCATACCATACCATACCATACCATACCATACCATACCATACCATACCATACCATACCATACCATACCATTTCTTAAAATACAGTTCTGAGATTCTTTGATAAAGCAGACTCATTTTGCTGTGGTTTCGTGTGTTGGTTTGTTTTCCTTTTTAAGTAAGCATTTGACAGTATTTCTCATCAAGCAACATTGTGTATTGGCTTAATTAGTGTTCAGCCAGGCCAGAGTTTTAATTGTAAAGGATACATTTAAAGCATTTTTATTACTAAAATTCACAGTAAAGACATAGAGATCCATTTTAAATCCTTGAGCAGATTTCTGTGTATGACAAGATTGAACTCAGTGATAGCAAATAAGACAGAGGGAACAGCTTAATTTCTCAAGTAGAAGAAAATTAATATTATCTTAAATTACAGTCTCATTAATTTAATTTTTGCCTTTTTCTCAGACCAAGAGGGACACCCAGTGGCCGATAAAATTATCACTGCTCCCTGAAAATGATCATTCAGTCTAGAACGTATTCAATGCTTTTTGACTCATAGGAAAAAATAAATATTATCAGCCCAGCAATTGGAGTAGCCTCCTGTGGGACGAGCTCTTCCCCATGACAGCTGCCACACTGGGTCAGTGGCCATGACTCTCCTGTGCTTTGGTCCCTCCTGCCTGAACCTTAGAAATCAATAGCATTATATGAGCTGTCTCTGGCTTTGCAATGTGCACTCCTTATTTTCAAGCAGAAGGCCAAGAAATACAAGCCAGTCATTTTCTCATATTCTGAGTGCTGTTTGCAGGCTTTTATTTTTATGTCTCATTTCTGCTGTACCTGCTTTCCCTTCTGTACATCACCATGGCATGGCACAGGCATTCACCAGGCTGATCAGCAGGATTCCAGGCAGTGAGAGATCAGCAGCACCCTAATGCAAATACTTCAGCAGAAACGGGAAGTGTTAGAGATGCATGGTGTATTCGGCCGGGCTCCCTCTTCTTAGGCATCTGATAAGGTGTGAAGAAATAAAACCCCATTCTTTGTTATCTCTACCCATCATCATCATCATCTCTCAGCACAGCCTGCAGGTGTGTCTGGAGGTGTGCCGGTCTCGTGGTGATGTGTCAGCAACCTCTGGCACCCTGCTCTGGGAGAGGCTGTGGGGCAGAGCTCGGCTACAGGAGCAAGCCCAGTCAGCTTGTGAGTGATAAAAAAGACAAACTCACGTGTTTGGTGCTCCACACCTGCCTGTGGGCTAATTAGAATGCCCTAATTAGAAGTCAGTAAAACATTTTTATGAGTTTGCCACTAAGTGTGCTGCTGGACACAGCTCCTCCAGCACAAATTCCTTGTGCTCCTGCCCTGGGCCCTGGGGGGGGCAGGCACACACAGGAGGTGGCCACTGGCTGGGCAGAAGGGCCACCAAAACACCCAGAGCCACAGGGGTCTCCTCCAGGCCTCCTCCGACCCAAACACAGCATCACTGTGCCCTTTGTCACCCAGCACGTGACAACACGACCACGAACAACATTCTGAGTGTTTTATTAACAAGTATAATACATATGCACTGTATACTAAATATACTAAATATACTAAATATACTAAATATACTAAATATACTAAATATAGTATGAGGACTGTACAGTACAAATTTATGTTCACAGTTTGACATGACAAAATGTCATTACTGAATTCCCATTGGACTACCAAAGTAGAAACAGTGAAAGTACATTTAACATTCACATCTTTAGTAAGAAAAGATTACCAAAATGTCTCCATATTTGCATGTTATAGTAATGTACGCTAGAAAACTTTAATTAGCCATTTCGTCTTATTAGCTTATAAAATATATTACATTTTATTTTTAAAATTCTGCATAGTTTATAGAAGTATTAAAGTAAATAAAAATCCTTGCTATATTTGCAGGTGAGAGATGCTAAGCAAAAAGATTATTTTGACCCTCTAAAGTACATTAAGTGCTAATATTTGTAAAATAGAATGAAAATTGGTTTAGGCCTCTTAAGAGATGTAACATGCTTTGTAAATTTTTTAGAAAGGATTTGTATTTATCTGTATGGTGCTAACCTTGACAGAGACAACCTATTTGGACAAGATGTGGCATTAGAAGTATTGCTGCAGTGCTGTGTGTATATTTAAATAAACCCCACACATTATTACCTGCTTAGTTTCTTGCAATTGTATTAGAAACTAGTAATTTATTATAATCAAATGGCTTAAACAGGAACATTTTAGTAAAGCAGTATTACCTGTTATACACTGCACAGTGTAATACTGTTAGGGAGGAAGGTGGGGGGTTTTTTAATATACTCATTCTCCAGGATTAGGATTTTCTATCTAAACTGGCTTTTCTTTAGGGCATAGATGGAGTGACTGGTTTTGGAAAGTATTTAGTTGGGTATATTTAAAAATTGCAAGGTATCCTTCAAATCAAAGTTTGCTAAAATGAGCCAATGACCTGCTTAAGATGTAAATTCACATTCAGCTACAAGTGCATTTGTTTGTGACCTTTTAGATATCCCACAAAGACACTAGAGACACAAGTGAAAAATCCTATAAGGAAGGCATTATCATGTAATAATCTTAAATACTTATATTTAATATTTAAATTTCTGTTGTCCTAATTCAAAAGACACATGGATGAAATTTGAAAGTTCTGCTCAATCTCCACTGTATTTGACCTCATCATTAGCATACTTTCAGGAAAAAGCTATCTAAGCTAATGAATTAACATAGCAAATAACCTAGACTAAATTATCTGAAGTTACTCTTAGTTACAAAGAAGTTCTGCTTTTAGGGTACTGACTTTAAAAGTATTAAAAAACATATTAATGAAAACATTTTATTTAAGCCTCAAAAGAGAAACAGAGCATTAGAAAGAAATGTTCCTTAAACATCCTGAATTTTATAAATTTGCATTTTTAAGGTAAAAATGGGACCAGTTGCCATTAAGGTGCTTATTTTTATAGTATCTGTTTTTTCCCCCCTCTATAACAGAACAGAGAATTATTTTCATCCCACGGTACTAAATATCTGTAGACTTATGCCACAGGGCTCCCACCACACAGCCTCTCAGCCAGTGATGTGCCTGGATTTACAAAATTGCAATTAAAACCTAGAGCCAATTCTCTACCACTGACAAAAAAATATAAAACAGCTGTTCATTAATATCAGTCTCTTTCCTACAAGTTTCTCAATGTCACTAACAATCTGGCCTACCAGGAAAGAAAAAAGACAGATTCATGTGCCAGGTGTTTCAGCACCACGGGTGAGCAGATGAGAGAGAGTTTCAAGACACCAGATGTAGCCCTGCTGAGGTGGTGAGGATGTATGGAGCTGGAACAGAGCAATTGCTGTCAGACCATTTTTCTACAGGACGTACAGACCTCCCCTTCCCTAATTCCACAGGCATGTGGATGTCAGCAGAACAGCTGGTAAAGCCCTATCACCAAATAAAGGCTCTTTGCACTCACTCTTGTCTCCAAGATTGTTTGGCATTGGGCTTCACTGGATATGGAAGCACAGCCTACCTGCTCCACAAGCTCAAACATACCCACCTGCAGATGGACACTCCACCTGTCTCCTGCAGAGTTCTATGAAACTCTTCCTCCCCTCACACCTCCATTGTTCACTGGGTTTTTCCAAAAGAAAGGGAAAGCCGACTTCAGTATCTTTAACATTCAGGGAGTGGTGGTTATCTTACACAGGGCAAGGAAGGAAAATGCTTGTGTGTGTGTAGAGAAATACATCCTGTTTCCTTGCAGTGCCACAAAGTCTGCCAGCTCATACAAAAACCTTCCTTTCAGACGGCACCCAGACAGGAACATTTCTAGAGGCAACTGCAGGTTGCTTGAATTCAATTTATTTTACTTATGGAGTTCTGTTTGCTAATAGGCATGGTTTTAATGCAATAGACATGTCCACAGGGAAGCAGTTGTACCTACCATTGAGAGACTACCAGAGTCACAGATCAGAGTTAGGAACAGGATGATTTGGTATATGCTTTTATCCAAAACAGATACATGACTCAAATTATCATCAGAAGTACTTCATATCTGATATCATCTTTTCATAAAACATATTGTGGATCAATAATTTTAAATACTGCAGTGTATTACAGTGGTACTCACAACAATATAGTTCAGAGCAACAATATAGTTGCACAACAATATAGTTCATTTTTTACTTAATGATTGCTATTTTCAGAAGTATAGCAAAGAGAAAAAAAAGTTATTTAGAAGAAATGCAGGGGCATAATTTTAGGGGGATAGTCTATATCCCTGAAATGAGGTGCAGCAGGTTTCCATGAATGTCATTTAATGCCAAATCACAGGAGAGTACCATAGAATAATAGAATCATAGAATCATAGAATAATAGAATCATAGAATATGCTGAGTTGGAAGGGACCCATCAGGATCATAGAGCCCAACTCATGGTCCTGCACAGGACACCCTAAAAGTCACACCATGTGCCTGAGAGCATTGTCCAGACATTTAACTCAGACAGGCTTGGTGCTGTGACCACTTCCCTGGGAAGCATGTTCCAGTGCCCAACCACCCTCTGGGTGAAAAACTTTATGGTAAACCCCTGACTCAGCTTCAAGCTGTTTCCTCAACTGTGTGTGTTCCATCCATACACTTGCACAGAAACCAGACATACAGAGTCACACAAAGTCTTCCTTTAACAAATGCACCGGGGCATTATGCAATAAAAACAAGGATATATACTACACTGTAATACAGATGACAGATGACATTGGTTTAGATGCACAGTATTATGTACGGGCCAATTCCTGCCCATTTTTCTTCTTGACTGGGGCAAATGATACTATGACTCAATCTTTCTGTAAAGTAATTATACTGTTTAGATTTATTTCCTCAGCATTACTCACTGTTTGGGGATTTCTAAATCAGGTCTCTTTCTAAAACTCTTGTATTAATCACATTGTAGAAATCAACACAGCTGGGAAAGTCCATTCATTGCATTGTTGAGCATAAAATGAGAGTGTATCCCTTACAGGGCACATAAATAATAGTCTCTGGCAAGGACTAGCATTTTGGATATTCAATAACATTTACTATTTTATCAGTATATGCTGAGTTGATTATACGAAGAAACCAACAAAAGCTGTTAGTTTAAAAATTCCCTTATTCACAAATGAAATACAATAAACATACTGAATGCAGAAAGGGTTTGCTTAGCATCCCCGGGGGAAAAAAAGAAGTGTTCACATTCTTTAGGTCTGACCCGTGGCAAGGACATAGAAGGGTTAGATAACACCTGTTACTGACCATACGTAAGCTTTTAATGGTATAAACTCAGAGATCCAGACCAGCTGAATCCAAATTAAAATGCATGTGTAAAAAACAAAAGAAGTGTGACAGGAGTCAGGGACAGAAGACATTCAGACTAGCATGTGGCGTTTCCTGTGAAGAGCAAGATGGTCTGAACGTGAAAAGCTCCGGTCACAGTCTGGACACTGGAAGGGTTTGATTCCCGTGTGCTTGCGGAAATGCCGCGTCAGTTCATCGGAACGAGCAAACTTCCACGTGCATCCCTCCCAAGTGCATTTGTACGGCTTTTCTCCTGGAAAAGGAAACACGGAAGGGGGAATTTAAGACATGAACCCCTAAGTTCACACATAAATCCGACATTTATTCTACTGCCTTGCCAAATTTCAGCAAGTACTTCAATGCTTACTCAAAAAGCCTCCAAACAGCTCAAAGTTGATGAGTGCTCTGCACTAGAAACTGTGCAGTCGAAATTAACTGACCAAAAATTGTTACCTGCCACAACTTATTTTTTATTGTCTCTATGTTCCTCTCTCTGCCATATTAGCACTTGTTTTGTCTTATGAAGCCCAGAAGCATGAAGGTTTAAGCATTTGTTCAAGTATTTTCAAACCAGGGATCTCATTTTCTAGATTTCTGGGGGTAAGGACTGTGCTACCATAAAGCACAACAGGCAGAAATCTTGTGATTTCTGAAACTTAATGTACTGTAAATGACTGGCATCACTATTGCACGTACCTCAAACTCTATCATTACTAATATGTCATCCTCCTCCTTTAACACCACTGTATTGCCCAACAGGTAAAGGGCTGGCTTGATGCACAATAGACATGAACTGGGCTCCATTTTTCCTAAAAGAGGTATCTTTGTAAAAACCTTGGATGTGTATATATTCATTCAGCATGACAAGATGAACATTTCTGTGGAGAATAGAAATGGGGATGCTAACTGGAACACTCATTCAGAAAAAAAACACTATTGCAGTGGTTAGCATCTCCATGGAGCAGATGTGCTTGCATTTGGCATATGGTCCAGACTTGCAAATGGGCTACTCCCATAGAAATCACAGTCAAATTTGACAGTGATGTCATAGGTGAGGCAGGGCAATTTGAACTGATTTAGTGTTTACAGGGTGTGCAGTTTGAGTAAACTGCAAGCAACTGGACACAAAATGAGTGAAGAGCCAGTGAATGTAAAACACATCAGCATGCACTGTGAACCTGTTCTGGCTTACAGTCTCTTGTTGTAGGTTTTTCCTACTATGTCCTCTGCCTTTTGCTCAGCCAATAATTATTTTCACAACAATGCCAGATCTACCTTCTGTCATTTTGTCATTTACACGTGTGGTCACCTGGCCATTAGCAGAAATTACAAGCTTAGTCTACTATTCTACCATAGACTTGATGAAAGAGAAGCATAGCTACGCTCAAACCTGTATGGGTTCTTCGGTGAGCTTTCAGGTGGGAGCTTTTAGTGTAGACTTTGTTGCAGCCTTCATAATCACATCGATGTATTCTGCGTTTTCTTTGTGTGTCCGGAGATTCCACAGGTAAAGGTCTCTTTCCTGGCTGAACTATAACTGAAGGGTGATTCCTGCAAAGTCAAATTAATGTTAAAAATCAAAAACATTTAGCACAGCAAACCTCAGCTAATATGATTCACAACAGAGCCTTTTATTCACTACCACTCTGTCTCTTGGCAGAAAGCAAAACATTACATGCATGTCGAAAAATTCAACAGGGTTTCGCAAATTTTGTGCATTTTAGCAGTAATATTTTTAAATGTTTACTCACTTTGTGGCATGATCTAGCCATTTTTACTACTTCCTAGCTCTTTTTTAAAACTTAGAGGAAAAGCTCCTTACAACTTCATGTTTTTCAGTCAAACTCAGATTTCTTAAACCCTGAGTGAACTTTGCATTTGTTCACTATTTCTTTTCCTTCAAATACAACTAATTTGATTGTAATTGGGAACAGCTATTCCATATTATTAAAGAAATTGTATCTTTAGGGTTTCAAAGCAGAACCCAATCTTTATTGTTCCAGCCACTCCTTTAGAATGTAATTAAGAATTTCCTGTTTGGTGGTGGCAGCAGGGTGCGGCCTCCTTGTACCACTGACGTCAATTCCTAAAAGTAGAGCTTAGCCTGTGTGGCACACCCACAGGATGTCTGAAGTTGTCCCTCCACCTTCATAAACATAATTTTTCACTTTAGAAGCTCACAGGTACAGGTAGGTAGGGCATATATGAACTACATGTGGACTCCTGCCACAAACAAACCCATAAATGCTCACGTGTCCAGAAACATACAAGCTTCTCAAAAGGTGCCTTTGCCTGTTGAATGACATCCCTGCTGTAGAACTGGGGACAACCTTGATCCTTTCTTCCACACCAATCTTACAAAACGTATGTTTGTCAAACAGGTACGTGTAGAATGTAACGTGCAGATATTAGCATTCCTTTTTGCAAAAGCAGCTCCTCCATTCAACAGAATGGAGCTTTTAAGAACTCCCATCTTTTCTAAGTTACTGTATTTCACATGTTTTTAGCAATCAGCTTGTTTTATAACACTGAGTTCTGCTGGCTACTTACTCAAAGTTCCTTTAGGGCCTAATTTTCAGAAACACTGAATTCCTACTTCTCTCAGAAAAATAAAGGGAATGTGCTAAAGACAGAAAATCTTCTGCATGGCTTAAGAACTAAAGATTTTGCTATGACCCCGCAGCAGCAGGATGGGGATTACCCATGTGGGAAAAGTTGAATTCTGTTATTGATTCTTTTCTTAAGAGTTAGAAGCTGGAAACTGGGAGCTAAATTCTCTTTCATGGGTAGTTCTGTGACTATTGAGTGATATACTCTTCAAGTACACATTAAATCTAGCTAAAAATACTATAATGGCAGGAAACCCCAGATGGTGATGTTAGACAGAGACGTACACATTTCAATAGGAAGGCAGGCTTCTAGCTTCCAAAGAAATGGCTCTCTAAAGCAATGCCCAGTTTTAATGCAGCTGCATACCAGTCTTTTTGGACAAGCTCTGGCTTAGGACAGCAGACAGACTTGGTTTAAATCGTTATGTGTGGAGGCTAGTCCTGGACATGGTAACATCCGGGAAAAGGGAGAAAAACGGTATTTGCCATACACCATTTGTGATTTAGATTTTCCATCTATAAGTGCTTGGAAAAAGCACTGAGAATGTCTCCTTTTCCCCTTATGGGAGAGGAGGCTGGCAAGACAACAGAATATTATCAATAATCAGATAGGGTGTGGCAGTTTTAAAAAAATGTTAGGGTGTTGTCAAATTCAGAGGTAAATATTAAGTAAATATTAAGTAAGTGCCAATAATAAAAGAACAGCCCTAATTCTTTCATCTCCTCTTTTATAACCAGATGTAAGCTCATGTAAGTCTACCCATTTAAGTGTCACTTTTCAATAGAGAAGAATATCTTCCAAAAATTACATTAAAATTTCAACAGCTTTTTCTTCTTTACCACAGACCACACTATATTGACAGCATAACTTAGACTTTGAAACTTGCATGAAAATATGTTAATGAGGCTCCTTATATTTGGCCAGAGATTATTATTACCTCAAGTTTGATTTTAGAAATAACTGCAGTTACATCGATTATCAGACATACCAGAACAAAGTCCAGTCATCCCTACAGAAATGCCACCAATATTATTTATATATAGATAGATATAGATATCCAGATACAGAAAGATATACTGCCAAAAGCTAACACTGAAGCAAAATAAGTCACTTAAAAGTCTTAAATGAAGTCCCTTCAGTGAGACTAAAGGTTTCCTATGCCCCTTTAATGTAGCTTAGGTGTCTGAATAGTACACTCTGGGCAGTTGGAACCAATGAATAGTGATGAAAACTTCAATGCCTAACTATAGCTATAAAGCTATGAGACAACGTTTTTTAAATGAAGGTTTAAGCATCTAATCTTGTAACTTGTGTGAGTTGTCTATGTATTTTTTTAACGATAACAAATACAATTTATAAACTTGTTTTGGAAACAGCAGAATGTGAACTTGAAAGGGCTGGCTCTAGGAGCAAGAACTAGAGGACAGGACAGCTACAGAGCAATGTAAGCTGTTACAATTTAAGCAAGGACAGAATCTCCATGAACATAACACTCTGCATGGGCAAGCAGGCGCGTTGCTGTGGAAACATGGACATACAAATGTGTTCTGTAACAAAGCTATCTACACATTATACCAAATTTTATATTCTTTGTTCAGTGGATGGGTTTCCTGGGGAAACTAGACCCATTGGGAAATAAATAATGCAAATCACTAACGCAGGTGACAAGTCTGCAGAAGTCTCAGCCCTGGAGGAAGGGTGTGGTATCGAGGAACAGCACTTACTGGTTTGCTCTTGTTAAAGAGACTTAACAAAGACAAAAAATAAACTGAATCATTTGATAGTCCTGACCTAGCAGTAGTTAGTTTCAGGTACATAAAGACCTGACTCCCTTGTGTGATAGGTCCATTACGGAAGGTAAGCTACCAACTAGTAAACATGCATGTTTACTATTTTATGTTTATTACAATAAAATGTATAAGGCAATTTAAAAGAAACAGCATATAATTTATAAAAGCTAGCTGGGAACTAATTGGAAAGAGCCTACAGTCTAGGAGCTGTATCTAGACTGTTTGAAGACATGGAGGGGTGCCCACCAGAAGGCTGTAGTGGAATGCAGCCAGCCCTGGTGGTGTGGTGTGCTTTAGAACCCAAAGGCCATGAGCAGGAGGAAGAGGCAGCGTTCAGGAGGAAATAAGACCACCCATCCAACCTATGCTTTTCTTTCTCTCTCTGAACCATACTGACACTGGGTTTTGAGTGTCTGGCTTGAAGCCTTCTTTCCCTTACTCCATAAGGTGAGGTCAAACACAACCACCTCCAAGGGTGACAGTGAGTAAGAGGGAAGTGCAGAAATGGATTCTGAGGTTCTGTGCTATAAGCCCTGCTCAGCTCCCAGGTTCAGCTCCTGCCAGAGCCACGTTGGCAGCCTGCCTGCCTACCCAGAGCACTGCCTGCTGAAGGATGAGCCAGGCTCTGGGTCATTCCATGGTTTTAGTAAGTTGACAAGATTTTTCCTAGGAAAACAGGAAATGGAAGGGTGCCCATGGTTTCGCAGGTACTTTCTTAAGAATTTTTTAATGTTTTCAATTAAAAAGTTTATGCCTCAGACCTAATTTCTTCTTCTAGCCCTTGTCCTTTCTTCTGCAAACAGCACTGTTTTAAAACCCATTAGATCTGTGATCCAGTTCACGCAGCGGCCCCAGTAACAGCTATACCAGCACAATGAGTTAATATTGGGATGGAAACAAGTGGCTGTGAGGGAAGAAAGCTTCATAAACTACTTGAGCTGCCAAAAAAATCACCCACAGAACAATGGCCTCAGGTAAAAATGCAATTTCACTGGATATACACAGAACTTGTAAGCCTGAAGAGTTTCTTCCCACCAAGAAGGCAACATTTTTGAAAAGACAAAGAGGTCCTCCAAGAAGAGAAAGTCACAACACTGATTTTAAAGAAAGGCATATTAAGTAGCATGAACAGAGATATCAGCATGAACTGTCTTTCAAGTTTTTTTCGATTTTGCTGCTGGTTTTACGTAAGTAGGTTATCACTGCCTTATTGGGAGTCCTACTTTCAGTAACTTGTGGAATTAGGCCTTTTCATCACTTTAGAAATACATTTTATAAATGGAAGATCTATTGCAATGTATAAATATATATCAACTCCTGTATTGCTGAAGAAGGTGGAAAAGAAAGTTGAAATCACATTTCACAGTGATAGTGGTGGGAGGGATGAACGTTTTCCTGTATTTTATCGTATGTTCTAAAACACAGCAACAATCCTTCCCATTCCTCAGAACTGGTAACTGCTGTAGTGAACTGCTTTCCAGTCCTCTGCTGATCTTGGGACTACTGTTAGCTACTTACTCTTGTAACATTACTTGCTGAGGAGACAACGAGGTCATTGCTGGAGGTGACATTTGTTCAGGATAGAAGTCAGTCTTTGATGGTTCGCTTCCTGGCTCTACTTTGATTGTTTTCTTCAGGGTGGGCTTCTCATAAGACTCAATGACAGGCACTGTAGGGGAGAGGATAGGAGAGGGAAGGCAACACATAAAAATTATGAAGAGTTATGGAAATAAATAATATATATAAAGATGTATAGTTAAAACAAATCCATCAGTTCTACATTTACTGTGACTATTTATATTAAATACAAAATCTTTCAGTTTTAGTTATCTCCTGAAGAACGATGGTTCAAAACACTTCCATTCATTTTCATCAGTCTGACATTATTATCAGTCCACATTTCAAAAGATATATACACGAGAGCATTGCTCTAAGCAAGAGCAATGGAGCTGGTGAAGGTATGGAGAACAAATGTTATGAAGAGCAGCTGAGGGAGCTGGGGTTGTTTATCCTGGAGAAAAGGAGGCTCAGAGCAGACCTTATCACTCTGCAACTGCCTGAAAGAAGGTTGCAGCCAGGTGGGGATTGGCCTCTTCTCCCAGACAACTAGACACAGGACTAGAGGAAGTGGCTTCAAAGTGCACCAGGGGAGGTTTAGTTTGGACACTAGGAAGAATTTCTTTGCAGAAAGGGTGATTAGACTTTGGAATGGGCTTCTCAGGGAGGTGGTGGAGTCACCGTCCCTGGAGGTGTTTAAGGAAAGGCTGGATGTGGTGCTCACGATCTGACTGACAAGGTGGTTTGGGTCACAGGCTGGACCAAATGATCTCAAAGGTCTTTTCAACCTAATTGATTCTGTGATCCTGTGACCTTGGTAAGTCTGCTAAAATATTTACACAACAAATTCTATGCCTGTTTATTTTAGAAGAACAGGAATTATGTTCCACTTCCTAAAATGCAAACAACCCACAGAAACCAAGTGCTTGGATATTTGTCTTATTTTGCTGGGATGAGACAGCATAAAAAGGAATTCTGACAACACCAACCTTGCATGCTACTTGGAGTTTCCATCTCATCTGCAAGAACTGTGGACACCATGATGGGCTGCTGGAGATGGGGAGCATACATGAAAGGAACTGGCTGGACCACAACAGGCTGTATAACCGGGAGTATCCCAGGGCTTCTCAGTCCATGGCGTGAAAGAGCAGCGGCCATTACAGGTGGGATTGTTATGGGCATAGAGAGAGGCTGTACTCCTGGGGGTGACGGTGTGAATTTACTGAGAGGTGAGCTGGGGGAGGACAGAGTCAATCCAGGTGAACTTCTCCTATGCACAGTCTGAAATTTTAGTGGAGAGGGAGAACTTCCAGTTGAAGGTGGTGAGCTCCGTTTATTTACTGTAAGGTCTACTGGCTCCATCTGGATTCCATTTGATAGTCCTTCAGGGTTTGAGTAGAATTTATTGTGCAACATACTTGGTGTAGAATAAATGACGCCGTATTTGTTTGGCTTCATTTGGTCCATGTAATTGGATGGGTATGACTGTCAGAAGGAGTGGAAAAGAAATACAGAAAATCAAATAATAAATCAACACATACACACAGCTACTGCTGAAAAAGAAAGGCAGCCAATAAAACAGGCAAAATGAAGAAGTTTCAAGAAAACACTTTAATGTACTTTCTAAATAACAGTGAATTAAATAAAGCCTCAGATTCCACACGCAGGAAGCTAATCAAGTTCTGATTCACTAACCGTTTCAGAAGCAATGTAAAACAGATTATAAAAAAAATCGTCGAGGCTTATTCAACTATTTTTCTCCCTTCAAAATTGCCTGTCATATATTAATGTGTACATTTCTTAACTGACCTGGGAGATACATCTGCTATGCCAAGCATATAACTACATACGGAGGATCATCAATTCTGGCAAGAGGGGAGTTCAGCTGGGCTTAGACTTGCAAGTAATGGGTCCCAATCAACTGCTAAAGCAGTTGAAAAGCAATCATCACTAAGGAAAGAAATTATGAATCTGAACCCAACAATCAATAGAAAATACTCAGCTAACTATATAAGTAAAGAAACTCAAGAGTGCAAAAGATAAATCTAAACCTTTCTAATTTTTGAGATATAAAGCAGCTAACTAGCCAGTCTAATTTTGGAAAATGAGTACAAGGATAAACATTTGGTGTGTTGGAAGAATATTCCTGTTAGTGGTAGCAGTTCCCATTATAACATAAACCCCAAAGCTAATCTTGACCTTTGATGATCTCTTAAATTTACTAATAATTTACATGTGTATGTATATATATATATATATATATATATATATGTATGTATTATATAACTAACACACACCTATCTAGTGATTTTTGTAAACCAAGAAGCATTAACATTAAATTACAGTGCAGTATTATTAAACAAATACACAGACCAATACTGCACTCAAAAACTGTTGAAACTGAGGTTGTTTATTAACAGCTAACCCACAATGGAAACTGATGTAATGCTCTAACACACAGTGAGACACAGAAAATGCAATGCACACAAATTTTTAGTCGTGTTGTCAACTTTTTTGAAATAAAATGCGATCTTTGGATTTTGGGTAAGTAAACTAATAATAAGAAACTAATTACTTCTTTGGCACAAAAAAAATATTTTTGATGAGTGGAACTAGAAAAATGTTCAAAATGGTATAAAGTGAAGCAGATCAGAAGTATAAAACTACTTTATTTTCATAAAATTATTTCCATAACATTTCCATTATTTTTCTTCCTGGGGTGAACACTTCTGTCAATACATCTTCCTGGTTCCTTACCTCTGTCTTCCCTGTGAGGGAACACTTGGTTCATTTTAAATGTCAATGTTAACTGGAGGTATTTTTGCAAAATGACACAAATGTAATTTTCTTCTTTTCAGTTACTATTTGAAACACTGAGTTTAGAAAATATTGAAATTTTCCTCCTGCATTCATAGCACTGTGATAAAACAACAAAGCTGAGTCACTCAGTCCATAAAACATTCAAATAAAGCAGCACATACAATGGTGATTAATCTTCAAACAGTAAATACCACTTTAAAAATCTCTGAAAGTTATATATTCTCTTTATGACTATTCTTACAAATTCCATCTATAGAAACATTCATATTTCATGGTAATTAGTTTGTCAGAATTTTATTAAATGTCATTATTGAAAGAAGTGCTGTCTGTAGACTTGCCAGCACTGCTGAGCCAAGCAAGGAAATTATTAGCATTCTAAGTGATGGAGACCACTAAATATTGATAGAATTTAATATTTAACAGCATTTAGTATCTATTATATCTGATCAAATTATGGGCATAAACAAAAAATCAAAATTTTAACAGGGAAGAATCATTAAATACTTCTATTAAAACTCCTGTTATTGATTTACAGTGCAGAGTTCACCCAGCTTTAACAAACTGTAAACATTCCACCACTAAGCATCAGTGCATTTACAGTGCTGCAGGTTTGTCAGGGATGATCACAATGTCATTGCCTGTGAACTTTAATTCCATTGCAAGAATGCTAAAAAGAAAAAGGCCTGTGAAATTTAAATCTCCAGGAATTCTTTTGGCCAATGAGTTTATTGAAGAACAATACCTAAGAACACTCCGTGGGAATTTGAGGAATAACTGTCTGGATGCTCACATAGTTTATGTCTTCTCTGATGGGGGAGGGATGATGATTGTGATTGATTTTGGTGCACAGCCTGCAAAAGGGTAGAAATGCTGCTGGACACTGGGCAAACTGGTCTCCTGAGACTGTGGGCAGCTTCCAGGCAGATTTCCCCCTCCCCAGTAGGGAGGCCAGCAGAATATGCCCACAGTGAGGAATGGAACACTCACTTCTGGATGGGTGAGTAAAAATGCCAAGATTCAGTCACATACAAAGATAAAACCCTGAAGTAGTTCACAGGTGCTTTGTTTTTGTAGTTGTGCATCCTTCAAGGCCAAAGACATTTCTAGCTGAACATGCTTTTATATATATAAGATCTTTAGACCTCATTAGATTATATACTGCATTGGCAGTATTTAGATACTGTATTACCAATAAATCTAATCATCATGACCCACATAACCAGTGTCATACTTCTTGTGCCTGACCAAGTCTTTTCTCTACTACTCTACTACACAGAGAAAAACGGTTTTTCCCAATTCAAACAAAAAAGCAACTTGTTTCACCAAATGCTAACTGGTATTTGTCCAAATGTTTAAAAAGTCCTTGCAGCAAATAGGTAGTCATTTAGGTAGGACTCAGATGACTTTGTCAGTAATTCATTAAGAACAATCATAATATATGTTCAATAATCCATTTCAATAAATGGAATGAGCTGCTGAGTGATGAAACAGTGTGGGTACAAGCTTCAGTCACCTGAGAAGTATAGTTAATCCTTTCAGCCACACACCCTGAAACACAGTGGTGTCAAAACTATTACCAGCTTCCTCCTTCCACTCCAACTACTCTGACGTTTTAAAGACAGATAGACTTTACACCTACAGTGTACATTCAGATAGAAGAATGAGTTATTCCTAAGGGGTTTAATTTAATTTGGCCCCTAATGATTCTATCAGAACGGAAGGTGCAATACAAATAATCCTGATTTTAGATTTCTGGATTATGTTAGCCCATACTGCTCTGTTTAGCACTTCTCAACATCACACTACCAGTTTCTCTCTCATTCCACCTCCTCAAAAGGTGGTCAAGAAAACTAACTCACTCAGTGGCTGCTATCCCATGTTCTCTCCATATCACAATACCTCCCTTTAGAGGTGTCTCCAGAGCAGTTTCTGTTGTGGCACCAGGGCTCCAAGGAAGCCCAAAACCAAGAACAGCTGGGGAGCTCAAGGGCTTAGGGCTAAGCAGCCTATGTGTGTACAGAAGCTGAAACACACATGGTCCTCAGCCTGAGGGAAAATGAAGTAGTGTCCAGTGATGAAACTTCACTCAGAAACCATACTTTCCTCTGGATTTTCTGCTTTTTCTTTTCTGCCTTTTTTTTCCTTATGCAATGGCAAAAAGAAAAACATAGAGATGTGGTAAAATGCTCTGAATAGTCTTTAATAGCTGGTCAGAGTGATTACAATTACTTATGAGAAGACTCCAGAGATCCAACACATGGAAGGCACCACACCACTAGGAGAAGGATATGGTATAGAAAAACCAATACTTGGAACACCAGTCTTGAAATGACTTGGCTCAGAAATGTTCCCTTTTTCTTCCCACTGCAGTTTTTCCTTCATCTGCTCACTCCTCTCCTGGTGAGCCTTCTGAGGGACGGACCTTGCCCATCTGGCAGAAGCACACAACTGTTTGGGACACTTGTGTATCCTGTGCAGAACCCCAGACTATTGTAGAACCTTCTTTGGGAGACGAAGGCAGATGTGCACAAAAAGCGGCCCAAAAGACAGCAATGACCCTTCTTTTGTAAAACCGGCCTCTTTTCTGATTTCAATGGACACCATTAGATAATCTTAGATTATAGTAGATAATCACCACTAATCTTAATATAGTTACACAATAATTGTGATTAAAGTGACAGACAGGCTGGCCAATACTAAAGTTCTTTCTTGACCCAAATACTGGAATTCGTCATATTTGTAACTTTCAGTGACAGTTATTTTTCTATCATTACTCTCCAGCAAATAAACCTCCACGAAAGTCAAACTGTAATTTTAATATGCATATAATCTTAACTCCCAGAAGTGTCAATAGCACTGAAGAAATCAGACTGCTTACAGATGCATTTAAATTTATGAAAATTATTCTTTATTTTAAATAAAATAGGAAACAGACTTTCCATTAAAAGATGTAATTCAGAACACAAGTTTAATGCACTCTCAGTTATACTCACTGACTTCACCCTTTTAATGGATGAGCCTTTCTAGGAGTGTGATTTCATGTTACACTTAATCTGTTATTGCAGGCTAAAAGCTGAAAGGGGAGGTCCTGTTCCCTCATCCTGCCCCATTCCCTTGCTCTAATATTGAGCAGCTGCACAGAATGAGTCAGATAGCTTCCTGACCTGACAAAAAATGAGTATTTTTGGTGGGTTAGCAATTCTGACCATTCAGTGAGCTGATCCAAAGGTTCCAAATCATTCTAGGACTACACAATTCTTCAGTCAAACAAAGGAGACACAAAGCTGGTATGGAGGGAGCAAAGCCAAAACCACCTACTGTTTCAGCAGCAGCCTGTATCATCAAATTCTCACTGTACTGCTCCCACCTACATGTTCCTGCTGCTATTGCTTATCAGACTCTTCTCTGAGACAACCCTATACTCTAAGTTCATGGAAAATTAATTCAATTTTAAAGAAGTGTCTCCACTTCTTTTTTTCCCACGTTCCTTCTCCACTGCCCTAGTTCTCATCTATTCACTTGGTAAAGTAGTGCAACCAGTTCACCCAGCAAAAAGCCATTGTTGGTTTGGGTTTTTGCAGGATTAATTTTCTGCTATTTAGAGCAGAGTTAGCCAGACCACCTGTCACCACAACCAAGAGAAAAACAGAAAAAGGCACAGCAAGAAGCTGTTCACTTAGTTCACAGGTGTAACATTGAAACCACAGGATACTGTCAATTCACCATGAAGCGTGGCAACTTAATTTCAACCCAGCACCATCAGCAGCATGAGCTACAGAGATGATATTTACGGAGGGAGCAGTGGCTCAGGAATACATGGACACTCTCTCCTCTGATAGGCAACTGGTCAGGTGATTTAAGGAAATAAATTAATAAACTACAGAAGTTTTATTCTAGAATGTGAACCTGATTGCACAAAGAGCAAAATATAGCTTCACATGCTTTCCTAAGCTAGTCCAAAGCTTAATTACATCTCAATATGAATTTAAAGGTGAAAAAACTAAAGAGTCATCTTTAGGGCCAATATATTGGAAAAGTCTTACCACTGAAACAGGCTCCATGGCTTCTTGCTTGATAGGGACTGGGTCAAACATTAGCATCTTTTTTATTCCCCTGTTCTGATGCCTCTGAGGTTCTGTCCTGCTGGGGAAAGACAAGGTGTTAGAAAGCCACAGGAAATACCCGAATCAACTTTCTGAATTGAAGAGAATTTACTATTTTGTTGGATTAATGTGAATATTTATCCATCTCTAACACAGATTTTTAAATCATTGGCTTAATTTATTGCAAGTTTTTTCTTTCCAAATTGCTATTTAAACAAAGGGACATCTAGTCACATTAATGAAAGTCAAATTGAATTTTTGTTGTGCATGTCAGCACACCAAGACCACAGAATTTTCACTTTCATTAGCTGTCAAGTGTTTTAACACATCACTGTTTAGACCAAACATTTCTCATCAGCATTACAACCTCAGAATAATTTTGTTTATACAAGTGAACTGATTGTGGAGAGGATGTCTCTTTCCTAAAAGTCCTAACAGAAACACTCAATAGATCACATAGTGACACTGATACTGATTTTGCACTGATGCAAAAAAAAGATTAAAATTCAAGACTAACTTGGACTACATTCAACATGCTACAATGACTTAAAAGAAAAAAATGCATCAGTTATTATAACATAATAGATTTACTGACAATTCAACAACTATTTGTGCTAACTGTGAAAATAGAAGCACTAAAAAAATCTGCTTGCATTCTGTGCAGCTTCAGGGGTTTTTTTCCTAGTGTTCAACCTTACTTCTCCAATCTCTAAACACCTGAAATAAAAGTACTTAGCATAAAGCATGTCATAACTGTCATACTACACATTTGCCATGGTCATCTTGGAAAGATACTGGGAAGGAAAGGAGATACTTCTGGGTAAAGGCATAAGGGTACACAGAGAAACTAAGGGGAAGCAAAGGGAAGTTGTTCACAATGACATTTAGATGTTGCCAAGCTGTTTATAAATCACTCGAGGTTGACTGATGTCAAAGGAGCAAGTTCTGACCGTGCCCCGTAGACTTCACAGCCCTGCCTGGAAGCGGTACAATCTCATTTAAGATGCGAGGACAAAAGGAAAAGACACAAATTCAATGTGGCCGGTAGATGGCACTGGAAAGAAGCGAATACAGCCAGACTCCATCTGCAACTCACCCCGCAGGACAGGCTGAAGGCTCACCAACAGATTTGTAGCTGTGGCTGGGAAATTCTCCCAGAAATGTAAATGAACATTTAGAGATGTACTTGCTCAAATTAAAACGATTCTAATAAGCTTACGCTAATGAACAATTTTGCAGTTAATATTTGTTTAACAAACTTTGTTAAGAGCTTCCAGAGAAAGATGGCATGAGTTGTTACAAGTCTACCGTTTTATTCAGGTTAAGTTTAAAGACTTCTGGAAATATATTACAACAGTGTGCACTTTGAATAATGGAAACAAACAAGCAGCAGAGTAAATTATAGTATATTCATAATTCACCTTATGAAAGTTGAAGGCCTGACAAAAACAAATTGCAAAATGAAAAAAATAATGCAGCTTAATGAAATTTTCAGTTTAAACTTGATATGTAGTTTTAGTTTGGGAGCAGTCATGTAGCATGACACTATTTGCTAAAAGTTGTGATAATTCTGTAAACACCTTAAGTATGGTCGTGAGAAGGTTATTAATTATACTATTTTCTTTGAATGGTTATTATTTAGATAACTGTTATCTAATTATCTTTTTCAAGTTTCAACATGTCACATAGCTAGAACTAATGTTTCAGAATACCGACTTTCCAGAAATATATCCACCTATCTATGCATCATTCATATTCTCACACATTCATCTGCACTGTGAAAACAGAAAAGTTGTACTCTTAGACACGAAAAGAATTTACAGTAAAATGTGGCCATTTGGAGCTGCTACATAGGAATTTGGAACTAATTTCTTTCAGGTTTCCAGAAACTTTTGATTTTTATCTTGTATGTGCATAGATAAAGTAACACACCAATTTGTACTTTAGTGAAGGAAGGTGAAAAGAGAAAGAAAAGAAAGAAAAGAAAGAAAAGAAAGAAAAGAAAGAAAAGAAAGAAAAGAAAGAAAAGAAAGAAAAGAAAGAAAAGAAAGAAAAGAAAGAAAGAAAAGAAAGAGAAGAAAGAGAAGAAAGAAAGAAAGAAAGAAAGAAAGAAAGAAAGAAAGAAAGAAAGAAAGAAAGAAAATTTGTTCTAAGTAAATGCAATGATGCTCATCCTTTCTGTAATTTTTGTAATTCCAAAACCGTATTTTCTTCAGTTTAAGAATTACTCCTTTTCACCTTTTACTCCAAGAAAGTGTGTAAAGACACTTGATACACATTTCACATGTCATGCTACACATTTCTGTGTTTCCTGAGACAGCTCTAAATCACTGTGCGGAATTAAACTGACATAGACAACAGGAAGTGTACTACTCTGAACAAAAGTGAAAAGTAATTCTCAATCTTTCCCAAGTGCAGTCATCTGAGAACAGCAGAGCAAAACTTTACTTTAATGCAAGTTTACTATGCTGCATCAGAGTATAGGATGTTACTCTTTATCACGTTATTCTTAAGCAGGTTTCTTTTCCCCATTTCATAGTGACTGGAAACAAATTTTCTACAACAGAAAATTAATTAAGATGTAACACTTGGTCCTGTAGGACTGCTACAGAGTCAATATAAGTCAGCTTTGGATCTGGCATTTAAAATTTAGCTCAAAATTACGTTTTTCTAAGGCTGTAAATAAACTCACAAAAGACTCTTCTTTGTATTTAAAAATAATGCTCCAAATTGATAGCTTGGACCACACTCTTGAGTAAATATGTGCAGGTACACTCACACACAAATAAAGCACGGTACTTCTACTAAAAAGTAGGCAGTTTTTCCAAGTATTTGTGTAAAATCATGCCTATTAACTCAAAACTTCCCAGTCTTTCCTAAACATTTGAGAAGGGGGTAATAGTGAAGGTAAACAGTCTTATCTGTTTCTGTTACAGAGGAATGAAAAAACAGCTGGGTTCTGCTTTACAGAGTGATTTCAGAATGTACTTGTTTGAAAGCCTGCAAATTGTTTAGTATAGACAAATAATTTCTGGAATATCAAAATATCATCTCTTATTCCTGAGGTGCTCTGGAAAAACTGGTGAGGTGACAAAAATAAAATCATGTTAAATGTATTACAAAATAAGAACTTTTATCTTTGACTTTATTAGCTGAACTGTTTTGCATTAAAGGGTTTTCTCATGTGAGGTAAAAGAATTTAAAATGAATGTAATCTGAAACTAAATAATTAACTGCAATCCAGTAAGCAAACATTCCACCCTCTCTTTTTTTTTTGCTCTCCCTCTTTTTTTCTGCTAACAAGCCACCCAGTTTTACTTTCTTGCCTCCTCCCATTCACTCCACCCTGTGGATCTCTGCCAAGTCAGTCCAACTTGTCCAAACAGGACACAGCTTTTGATAAGATTTTCCTCACACCCTATACTTCAGAAAGACGAATTAAGCAACTGGGTTTTGTATGCAAATAAGGACAGGTGCAAGGTAAAGTCCAGGCAAAGTCCCTCAATACTGTCCTATCTGAAGTCCAGTGAAGACAGCACAAACTCTGCCCTTATGATCCAACATACAGCAAAGTATCCACTACAGAAGTGAAGTTCATTATCATTACAGTTCATCACCTTGTCAGGATTGAACACTTCTCAATATTAACTTCCTGGCAGGTGTATGGTTTATTGTTTCAGAGACATAATTAAGATTAAATGAAAGCTTAAAAGTACTTAAACGTGTATTTTGATATTAAGGGCTTGTATGGATTATTTACCCTGTATGAAATGTGCAAAGTGGTTAAAAAATGCACTCAGACTACACATCTACACTGCAGAACAGCTGGAAAAGGGCAACCGCACTGCAGCTACTCCCAGCAGCCCTGCACATCTACCTTCAAGGTCCACCAACTCCGCAGACCTGTTATGAAAGGAAAGGGTGGGGTGGAGGGCCAGTTTTGACTGTGCACATCCAGTAACAAAGGTTTATTATAATATAAAGCCTGTTCTCTCATTAAATACCTGGAAGAGCAGTCAGTGACTGACTTTAGTTGCAGACAGGGGGGTGGTGACCATACATTCTGTCCCTCTTCACTCTGCCTGAGAACACGTACAGGGTTTATTTCCTCAGTCTTTGTGCCCGGGGGAAGCAAGGGAATGCTGCCCCATGTACAGCAAGTCTTTGTCTAGAAGCTTCAAGGTATGATTGTTACTGTCAGTACAATTACAGAATAATGTAATGGTATCTGCTAAATTAGCACTGCATGAATGCCCTCTGCAAGCAACTGCAGCTCTTGCAGAGCTGTTAGAATCCAGCAGCAAATACTGTCACGTTGCAAAAGCTCTTCAGTCCAAGCACTTTGAGACTCAGACCTGTTGCTCTGAACCTATGATTTCTGTGAACCTCAATTCAAACTTCCTCTGATACAAGGCAAAAGCAATAGTATCAGAAGATTCTCCACTGATGAAATGCAAATGGGAAGAGAGGTTTTCTGAACCCAGGTGAGAAGCTGTCTTCAGTGGAACCTCCAAAGAGTTTGGCAGAGAGGAACCAGTTTCTGAGACAAACATTCCCTGCAGAAGGTACAAAAGCTGTTTTCCAGAGCTCATAACATGTTTGCATGCGTTGTACTAGTTGCTCATCAAGACCTGAGTCAGCAAAAGTGTTTCTAAAGTTCCATTAACTTTAATGGGAAGTAAGCAAGTGCTTAACTGCACTTGACCCCAAAACAGCAGCAGGCAAAGAAGCTCTCCAGCTCAGCACAGCAGTCAGACTCGGCCAAAGCAACTAAGGTCCAGACATGGTGCTGTGGGAAGAGACCACAGCAGCCAGACCATGAGGAACAGAGCAGAAGGACAATCATCAAGAACCAGCACACCAAGAAAATGCTCTACTGATCAATAGCTTTCTGTGTTTGTTTATTTGCTGGATTTCCACCGGGTAACAATAAACATTGTTGAAAAAGTTAGAATATTTTGTAAAAGAGAAAGGTACCTAGGCAAAAATTTTCTTCTTAAAGTTTTAGTGATAGGCATTAAAAAAAAGAGCATTTCTATAGAATTCTGGTATTTAGTACTTCAAACTATATTTGTTTCTTAGCAAAGACCTGAAAATCTTTTATCTTTCTCCTTTCAGGACTGCAAGCAGGCTGAAAAATTTGTGTTTTTGCAGAGCTTGCGCATCGTAACTTTGTTGATGTCACCTTGTTTGACCTAGAACTGCTTTGACATGTGACAGACTAATCGGTATTTCAATTAAATTTCTGATAATACCGTTGCAGGCTCTTTGAAGCCACGTGTCTGGAAATGGCTTTCTTGTATGTAAAAACCTTGGGAAAAAATGTTCTTGAAGTGCTTGTTAAGAAAATACCTTCTTTACCAAGGAAAAATTGAGCCCATGTAAACCCTGTTCAACCTTTACTTCTATACTCACTGAACCTAAAAGGAGAAAGAAAAGCTCTTGAGGCACCTCCATTAGACAATATTCTCCCTTATCAGGGCAGACTGCTGTCTGGTTTCCTGTCCATGCTACTTCTTAGAAGGAGAAACAGTCTATAAGGATAAAAGATCAGACTTTTGAAAACAAATGAACTATGTGGAATGGTATGATAATCTTTCCCTTCCAAACTGAACTTCGCTTTTCTTGTTGTGTTTTTCTTTAGAGGTTAATTTTTAAGATAATTTAAAAGGAGAAATATTAAACCTTTTAATTGTGAGGAAAAATACTGTTCTCTTATTTCAAGGGTTCTGCTATTTCAGGAAATGTGAAAAAGAGATTCAACATTTTTATAGCATGAGAAGAAAGAAAATCTAATGCTAGAGAGAGGAAGTATACATTTATGAGTAACAACCTAAATGACTGATTTGAACAAGAATCTGAATACAGGGCAAATGCTGATGAACTTCTATGAACCTAAGGAAATTTTTAAAAAAAGCAACCACGGAAAAGAGGTGGACAGTGTAGTGGGTACAAACGTGACAGTGATCAAAGCAGCTGAGACTCTTTAAAAGTGGAAATTCTATCATGTCTTCATGGATCAGGTTAGTTGGTTGGTAACATACACTGACTGCATGACAGCCAGACCATGCTTTTGGTTGGAGGTTTTTTCCCTTCTGAGTAAGTTTACTATTTAAAACCTGTTGGAGCTTTGTCTTTCCAATTGGCTGATCTAACACTTACACTTCCCTCCCCTGGGACATATCACCTACAGCTACAAAAATGTCAAAGGAAGCTTCGACATCAAGTGAATGCTTCACAGGGAAGAGTTAAATCTCTCCTAAAACCAGCTCTGCCAAACTTCATATTCTGGATTGGAAGCAACTAGCCTCGGAATGAAAACACAAAGATTGAATGCTGACAGCATAAAAGAACTCTAAAAGACCTCCTGTTAGCGATGTTAATTAATATTTAAAAGTTGGTTTACAAAAATTATTATAATTTTAACCTCAGTTCCCTATTTTATAGAACTTCTGGCTACAAAAAGGTGTGAACCACAAAATTTACTGCATTTATTATACAGCAGTTTCCAATATCAAACACAGTTAAATGCAAGTCTTTTCCTCTGTCGTTGGAAAAAAAAGATTAACTGCTTGAAATCTTGGGCAAATTAACAGTATAAGATAATACATTAAAATATGTAATTGTGTTCTATTGGGCAAACTCATCCATGATGTTCTAAAACGAAGAGAAAAAAAACAACAAAATAAAAACAACTGAGAGCAACACATTAAAATAATCAATAAACAACTTACCAAAACTGTGTAGCCAAATACTTCTTTTTATCTGGATTTCTGAATAGACAAAAAAAAAAAGTTTGCTTAAGTATGTGCATATAATCCAATATTTTTTTTTCATATACAATTAAGCTCTGAAAGAAGTTTGAAGTGTGTACTTCAGATACTTCCTAAAGATACTTTCAGTGATCTCAAACAGCTAACTTGTAGCATCCAGAAGAGCAAGAGCAGGAACTAAAAGACTACTCTCAAAACTACTGGGGAAAAAAAAAAGAGTAAAATGAAAGGGTGGGAGTATTACTGTGTGTACAGAAACCATACATATTCCAGCCCATAAGAGACAGAGAAGAATAAATACTCCATCTTGCATTTTCATCCAGGGCACACTGAAGTTAATGCAAGTTTTTCTCTCGATTTCAGTGAGCTTTGGCCTGGATCCTTTAGTTCTTCTTCTGTCAGATTCAAAGCAAAAGAAAGATTCAATTTTTTCTCAATTTCTTCCCAATTTTTCACTATGTCTGCCTGCAACACGGTGAGGGGGAAAGATAAATATAAAAACAGAAGTAAAACAATTACTTTTAAGCCTTCAAAAATGCAAAACGTGGGACAGCCGTACTTATTAATGCCAAAGAAAAGTTAGCAGTGCCTCATTTTCTGTATTACATCTGGAAGACAATGAATCTCCTAGCCTATATAAGGAGAAAATACTACTTCTTTTGAGATTTGGAAATACAAAGTGCTTATAGTGAGCCATTCAGATTGAGTAAGGGCTGAAGTTAAAACCCTCTCATAACTATGAGCCTACAGATGTGAACTTTCTTCTTACTTACATTCTTTATACATCAGTGCAACTCTGTGACTTTAATGGAGCTATTCCAGATCAGCTGATGAGCAAGTGAGAGCAGAAAACTGGCTCACAACTTTCTGGACACTCGAGTTCAAGTTTTCAACGAAGAGAGCTACAAACTCCAGTTCACCCCCATAACTATATTGGAGTAGAAGGCGCGCGTTAAAGGTTAACTTGGAAACCTCGTTATGACATAACGCAGGCATCTTAAGCAATCCTGAGTGTGTAGAGACATGATAACTCATCGGGTGGGGATTGGGAGTTGAGGGGCAGTGACAAGGGGCCTGGACGAGGCTACCGAACTGCCAGAAAACAGTCTGAAACAGGAAAGAGCACCACATATGCCACTTGGAATGTGTGACGCAAACCCCAGCCTTGAAACAAAGAACAGGAAACAGCTCTGCTGGCTGCGCTGGGGAGAAAGCACAGAGAAACATTTAGGCGGCTCTCCCTGACCCTATATTCATGAGCAGCTGGAGTCTTTTAAAACAACAACAGTGGGTGGAGGTGTTTGTTCATTGGGTGTGAATGAAAACACTGTCCTTATGCAGGGGACCTGCCCTATTTACAAACAGGCTCCCTTAACGTGAAGGAGCAGGAGATTTTAAGACACCACAGGTCAGGAGGACTCGCTGAAACCTTCCCTTAGACCAGCTGGTTTATTACTGTATTTACAGAGTGCCGGTAGCTACACAGAGCTCCGGCTTCATGACATCAAAGAGGCAGTACCCAGCCTGGCAGTAAGCACCTTCTTCGCAGACAGAGCTGGGGGATGAGGCCATTGCAGGAAGGATTTTTAAAGCTTGGGGCTGCTCCTGGACAGTGGCTCACTCACGCTCTATACAGCTCCATAGCTGAGGACCAATGTCACGTACTGCACCCAAGAATATTTTTCTAAGCCATCATATGCTTAACCTTCCACATCCCTATTTTCATAGGCAGACTTCATTTCAGAACCTAATTTCCCATGAGTTTACTACTTTTATTTTTGAAGCATCCACATACAAAGCTGAATAAATGAAGTAATCTGAAGCAGAGGAACAGCACAAATGGTCTAGATTTCATGCACCAGAGTAACTTCAACACTTGTTTTCCTCAAAGCTGCAGTTTCAAATACTCTCTCTTCTTTTAGATACCTTGCATCAGTTATTTACATACTACGGGTGGGACATCTGATATTATCAAATGTGAGACTGTTAAGAGCAAATTATGTGGATGAGTACCACAGCAACACCAAGGAATGCTGGGGGGTTCCAAGGTTGGAGATTAATAATGAACATGGGGTAATAACTGGCTAGTACAGCATCTACACAGCAAGGCATGGGTGTAGGTTTTATGCCAATAGTATCAGTTCCTTACTTCTTCATACTGAATAACTGCAAATATAGGTAAATTGGTGATTGTATAACATCTCTATTATCACTGAGTCGTCAACTCATCTCACTCACATCTTTATTTATTTAAAGGCTTTTGCTTTTGGCTAAACAGGTGCTGACTAGGTCAAATGTTCACAGTACCTAAGGGCTCCCTTGCAGCTCTGCAACTTGCAAGAAAATCTGCTTGGATTCTCAGGAAAGGGAGAGACCATTTAGCATTCTTTCCTGCCCCCACCCCTTGCCCTTACCCCCAGTCTCTCTAGTGATCTCAACCATAGATATAACAGCACGCACAGAGAAAAAAAAAGACCCAGAAATATTTGCCTGCTTGTGAAAAAAAAGGGTACTCAAGTCAGTTTGGGTTTTTTATATTTTGATACTATTTTTTAATATATTTTTGATATTTTGATACAATATATTCTTAAAAATACAAGGTGAAAGCTAATTTGAAATAAGTGTCGTCTGGGTCAGGTGAGATTATCAAATCCAGATGTAATTCCTTTCACACAAGTACCAGCTGCTCATGTGATTATCACAACAGTATCTTAAAAGAATTTGATGGAAAAGTCACTAGTCAGCGGCCATGTAGTTCTTTCTTTTCAATACAGGTAATGTGTATTTATGAATATTAGTTAAAATGAAGTCTTCAAGTCTTCAGAGCTCTCCTATCAGCCACTCAAATTCAACTTTTCCCAACAATTAAACCTTCAGAGTTCAGTTCCACAAACAGTGACACTTCCTAAATTTTCAAAGGTGAGGAAGTGAATAAAACACACAGAGGTACAGTACCTGAATCAAAAGGGAAGTGCACAAAACAAATTTAATGTATTTTTTAGTGTAACTCCTGAATGACCACTTAAGCTATTCTGAACTAGGTCTTTCTCCCAAGCTCCAGTTAGGTTCTGTGATCTCCCAGCACAGGCTCCTGTTGCTGAGCCTTCCTTTGCCAGGGCTCCCGGGCTGTGCCAGGCACTCACCTGACATTGGTCCAAGGCAAGTAACTCCTACTCCCATTTCGGTTAAAACCAAAAAATAAACAGAAATGAAAATTTGAAAAATAAAAAACCAACACAAGGCATCTAGCAAAAGAAAGGTTATTTCTAACTCCACACGTCGCTAGTGTGCTGTCCCACGTTTTACCTTCGCCTGCATGGCGGCCAAGCGGTGCTAAGGTGACGTGACAATACGGGGGGCAGGCTTTTGGGAGCCGATTTCATCCTAGACTTCCCCAAGAGTTAAACGGGGGACATGGCGCTTGCCGATCCGCTTCGCGCTACGGGTGGGACACGGCCCGGACGCGAGCTCCTGCCCTGGCACCTATCCCGTCGCCCCCGAAACCGAGCGAGCCCGCTGTACTTTCCAGCTCGCTTTGGTCGGGCGCTGTATCCCGTCCGGGATCCGATGGCACTTCAGTGTCTCCCCGAAGACGCGCCTGTCCCGCCCCGGCGAGAGGCCGGGGGCCGCGGCCGCGCTGGGCGGGAGAGCGGCCCCGAGGGGCGGGCGGCCCGCGGGCCCTCCCGCCGGGGAAGGCGCCCCCCGAGCGGCCCCGCCGGCCACACAGGTGCGCTGCTCGCCCGCCGGGCGCGCCGGACAGCGGCGGCCTCCGCCCCCGGCTCCCGCCGGCCGCACCGCGAGTTTCCCAGGCTCCACGGAGGGAGCCCCCGCGGCGAGCTCTGCTCCCCCCTCCCCGCAACTGCGGCCTGACGGAGACCCAGCTCCCGCTACCCCCGCCGTGTCTGCGGCTCCTGCGGCATCACCGCGCTGCCTCGGGCTCCGCGCCGCTCGCAGCGCCTGGAAACTTTCCTCCTCCGGCACCTCCATCCCGCAGCAGGCACAGCCCGGCCCCTGCATTACCCCCGCCCTCACACTTACGCTCGGCAGGCGGTGCGGAGCGCGCCGTGGCTCCGTCGACTCCCGCAGCCGGGGGTCGCGGTAGGTGGCGGGGGTGGGGGCGCTCCGGTGGGACCGAGGCGCGAGGCCGGCGTGTCCCGTGTCCCGCGTCCCCGCGGCTGAGGCGGCTCGGCGGTGTCTCCGGCTCTGTGTGCGAGGAGGAGCTGCCCGCTCCCGCCCTCCGCCCGCTCGCCTTCCCTCCGGGCTCCTGGCACCGGGCCGCACTGTCACATGACGCCGGCGCCGCTCGCCCTGCCAGGCTCCCCGGGCCGGCGGGGTGAGTGGCGGTGGGAGGGTCACGGCAGGGAGCGCGGCCGGGCGGGTCCCCGCCCGCGGGGTGGAGGCTCCGCCGAGGGGCCGGGGCGAGTCACCGCTCACAAACAGCCGGGCACGCACTGACTGCGCGCCCGCCCTGCCTCCCGGGGGCAGACAGCCTCGCACAGACACTAATTATCCCCAGCAGCCCGGGGAGGAGAGGGGAGGGGAGCGGGGCCGCCCCATCGACAAACCTGCCCGTCCAGCTCCTCCTCCCCGCCCGTGTGTCAGGCAGAGGCGTGCACCTGGCACTGGCCCTGCGGCACAGCGCACCCCTCCCTGCTCCCCTCCCTCCGCGTCCACCCCGGCCGACCTGCGGCGGCAGCAAAACAACAGCAACACCCAGCGCCCGGGGGGAAGGAAGGGAGGTGCTCACTCTGGGCCGCTGCCGCCGAGCTGGCTTCGCCGGCGGGAGCTGGGAAAGGGCGCGGAGCCGGGCGGCGGCTCCCCGGCCCTGCCGCCGCGGGCTGCCCGCGCCGCGCCCCGTCGCGCCGGGGGAGGTGGCGGGGCCGGGCGGGGCGAGGGCCGGACCGCGGCGGGCGTGGGGCAGAGGTGTCGGCCCGGCTCCGCCCCGGCTTGGCGGCTCGCCCGCCGGGATCGCCGGCTGCTGAGGCCCGTGCCGGGGTGGTTTTTATGGCTGCGCTCAGCCCGTCCTGCCTCGGGTGCGCTCCCGCCGGAGGGAAAGAGGCTGGCGGGGAGAGGTGCTGCCAGCTTCCCTCAACTCGACCCCCGTCGCCAGAGGCGGCAATCCCCTCCCTCCGCCACCCGTGCCGCCCCTGCCTGCACAGCCCTGCGTCTGGCAGCGGCCCGGGGCAGGTGTGTGTGCGTGACCCGGCCCGCCCCTCCTCCGAGCTGCGCTGGCAGCGGGAGGTGCCGGAGCGGGGAGCGGTGCGGGGGCCGGGGGGTTGCGCTGCCCGGGGCATACCCGCCCTGCCCGGGGGATTCCCGCCCTGCCCGGGGGATACCTGCGCTTCGGGGCCGCTCCCCGCACGGGGATGCGCGGTACGACGGGGCGCTGGCTCTGCCCTAGGACTGCGCTTGCTGCTCGAGACTTTTCAGCGGAGTGCACTGCACGCTCTCTCTGTAAAATGGGAAGCACTTATATCCACAGATAGACCGAGGAACTTCACTGGGAGCAATACTTTTTAAAAAAAAAATTACCTTGTCTGACTGTATCAATTCCGCTGGTTAAGGAAAAGTGCTGCCACTTATTCAATGTAGCGTGCTTACAGTGGTTGTAGTGTGCCATATAGAAATCATGTTCTCCCATTACTAATGTATGGTATCTAATCATGAGACCAAGGAAGAGGCAAATGCTGTGTTTAGCAAGGCCCTGTTCAGTGTTAATTGCTTGGACATATGAAAACGTGGACATATGAAAAGCCAGTGATACTTCTTATGGGTGGACAGGTCACCTGGCAGGTCTTCATTTATTTACATGCTTTGTTTCCTGCATAAGCCAGTGGAAGGGGCTGAGTATTTCTGGCTCTGCAAGACCATCTATGTATATAAACTGTCTTAATAGGACCCCAGTGTAACATACCTGTTTCTTTGTATGTTTGGGTTAAAATTTCTGTTCACTTTGATTCTTATTGACCCAGTCGATAATGCTGTAAAAACAAAGCAAAGAAGGAAAGGGAAAGGATGGGGAAAGTATTTTCAAACACACGGCTGTCCACGCATGTTCAGACTATGTCTTTATTCATAGGATGTTTTAATAAATCTCTTTACTTAGCTTGCTATTCTGTATGGCTTTAAAAAAGCAAATTAAGACACCAATCTGAAGCCCTGAAGGGTATGACTCAGTGACATAACAATAAATTGTAGTATCTCCTGCTAAGTAATTACACCATATCATGTCACAACAAGGTATTGTTGAAGTACTATCATATAGCTCATAAAGTGTCATTTTTTTATTATAAGCCTATAAAATAAACAAAATGCTGTGTTACACACATGGGCACAAAAGATTTCATTAGGGCTGTGAAAAGCAGCTGCTGTAGTTTTCTTGCATGAACTTGCTCACGATAAAGTAAGTATGTCCCAGTGTGCATTCTTTTATTCTGGGAACTAGCAGAGGTTAAACAGCTAACTGAAACCCTTAGGTCAGAGGCAGAGCTATTTTGATGTCAAATCACAAGAAATGCCAAAATACTTAATGGCAGCGAGCATGCTGCTCCTGGTGAAGTCACTGGCTTTTCTTGCTATTATCTATCTCTGGCCTGAGATGAACCTGTTGTAATCTGGTGTAATTTTACTGTCTTGTGAAGAGGCAGAGAGGGAGGATTGAGAATGATGCTTTTGCACTGTCAAGATTGTACAACTGTCAGCATTTTGTTGCCTTCCTGTGTTTATTTTTGGCAAGTCCAAATTCTGAAGGGAATAGGATCTTACTGATTTTAGTAGGAATTGAAAAACCAGAAGGGAGAAGCTGGGAGCAGAGAGAGTCCTTGCCATCTGGTTAGCAGACCCAGCAGGTCTGGAAGTGTTTCTAGATCAAAGGACTGGTTGATGGCAGCCCTTAACATCTTTTAGCACAACACCTCTTCCATTTCTGCTCTACCCATCATCCCCACAGAATGACGTCTGTCTCAAAACGGAAAGAAAGAAGAGAAGTGCAAGTCCTTGGCATTGACAAAAAAGAAAGAATGCTGCTTGGGTGTCCTTTGGTTTGCAGCACTTGCCCTGAGCTCTTGCAACAAGATAGAGCCTTTAACATGATGGAGCCTTGAGGAGCCATAATCCCAAGCATTAGGAAGAGTGTTGGCAATATATCACAAGTTTCTGATATAAGCAGACAGGAGATGATACCTAGAGTGTGTTGAGGGGAATGTACGGATCTCTGGTGTGGACAAATCAGTATTAAAATGTTAAATGAAAGGGTATAATATGTTCAGATGTCTGTTAAAAGACCAAATCCAGCCATTTGTTGAAATGAACCCTTGTTACATTCAGCTAAATTGCCATTGTGATAAATGTGACTATTCTGTCACATTTCTGACATATTCTGCTTCCCAAAAATCAATTAAAAAAGAAAATAAATACTTAAGAATTCTGCATGCTTTTTCAGTCCTTTATTCAACTTCAGGTTATGAGGTGAATTGGAAGTAGTTTGCTGGATCCAAGCAGTGCAATTGTAAAGCTGACCTTTCTTCCAAGTTGTTCTGTTATAAGATATACTATATATATAGTCAGTGAGTGGTATTGATGCAGGGAAAATGTCCACTGCAACCAGTCGGCTTTTTCCTTAATCTACATATACATGTTTAAGGGATTTTGATATCTCTGTATAAACTTACTGTATTCTGCAGAGTTTCAAGTCAGATAGTCACCTCATATATCTAGTACTCAGTGAACAGCTTCTGGGAGGAATGAGGGACAGATCATCACATAGCCAGCCATATTCATTACTTTTGTTAAACACAGTTCGCATTTTGGAAGAACCATAAATTTCACATTTAAAATGCTATTTTTTATTGCACGCCAAATGTTTAATCTCCACAGTACACTGAGGACATATACTATAGGTCCAAGTTGTTAGAAATACAGAAGTTGAGGCAGTATGAATTTGAATAGAAGCTTAAATGACTTAAAAGCTTAGGTATGTTTACGCTGCAGTCATGTACATACCTGAGCTGGTTTAAAACTAGTCAACTGGGGAACTGGTAGCAATATAGCTGTGGCTATGTGGACCCTGTAGCTATCTGGAAAACATGCCCAAAAAGCTGGGTAAATACTTGAGTGATTAGGCTGGCCTGAACTCAATGGCCAGACTACTACCAGTGCCCAAGACAAGTAATGTAAAGCTTGCCTGGCTGTGTATACACAGCATTGCAGTCACCATCACTTGTGACTATAGCGCAGACATACCCTTCTGTGAATTCTGTGAGTCAGCCTTGTCTGGCACATGATTCCCAAACTCTTTTGGGAGTTTTGTGGCTAGTGTCAATTCAGTGGTCCATGGGAAAGCCTTTGCAGGTATTAAGAAACTCAAAGCACAATATAAG